CTATCATTAGCGGTTTGCTCAAGCCGCTAACTACCAGCCCAAAACTAATATACCAAAAGGACCTTAGAGCCAAATTCAAAACCAATTAAAAAATATATACATACCGCACTGCACCTTCGACCAGTTAAACAGGATATCAGATTCTATTTTGCTTTTCGAATTTTTTGTTGAATGGGAGGAAAAGATATTGTTGCAATTTCAACTCATGGAATGAAAATAATAACTAAAATTTTTCCAATCTAATTGCACCAAAAAAGTTGCTTGATTGGAGGTGCTAATTAGTTGCATGTGTTGATGAGTTGATAAAATTTTTAATTAATGGCTGTAGTGTTGAGGGTCTCCCACAGGTAGGATGTTAATTAAGCAAGGAAAGGATTTATAAATACTCTTTGAATAGCCCAGATCATTAAAATAAACCTCCCATCAACTAGGATTGGATTTAAATATTAGATGGATTTGCTAAATATTTGAGGATCTTCGGAGTATCACAATCTTTGAATTCTCATGGTAATGATATATTTACTATTGGTAATATTATAATTACAATATTATGTAACATTTTAAATGTAAAGGTTAATGCATATCAGTTCTAACTTTCCAAAAAAATTGGAGTCTCAACTTATACTTAAAACTGAAATTTCAATTTAAAATTTAAAAATCTAATCAATTTGTAAATTTAAATATCAATATTTAATAAAATAGATTTTTAAATTTTAAATTAAATTTTAATTAAATAAAACGATATAATTTAATAGTAGAACTCTAATTCTTTTTTTAGAGTCAAGACTAACATGTATTTTTCTCTTAAATTTACAATTATAATATGATATTTTTTTAATAAATAAAAATATTTTATTTATTGAGTATAAGAGATATTCAAATCCATTTGCATCATAGGGCAGGCTCTGACACAAGTACTGCCTCGACAATTATAGCACTTCATATGGTTCCTTAAGAAATTTTACAACAGCTGGAGTTTAAAATCCAATCTGAAAAGCTAAAGCTTCCTTTCATATCCTTTATTTTTTACCCACAAAAAAGACGTCAATTGTATTTGATCGAACGTCCTATCCATATTATAAGGTTAAAATCTTATGTAACATAGCAATAATTACGTTTGAGTAATAATTTTTAGGATTAAATTTTACTTTTGAGACAAAATTATTTCAATTGTTAATTATGTGAGTGTGAGACCCACATTTTAATCAATACTTACAATAAATTTCTTCTAAATTTTGGTTAAAAAAATAAAAATACTATAGTTACGATATTACGTGGTATACACAGTTGAAATTTATGGTAAGTTTTAAATTTTGATTAAAAATAAAAATACTATAATTATTACAATGTTACATGATATTATAAACTTAAAACATGATGTGTGATAATATAATTGACTCTTATTATTTTGGGATTCATCCATAATATTGAATTTGTTTACTTATTTAATACTACATTATTATTGTAATTAAGTTTACAATATTACCAAGCATTGTAACTATAGCATTGATGTAAAAAAATTGGTCCTAATTACTGTATGGAATTTTTTAACCTCTATTCTTAGGATATAAATTAGGGATGCATTTATTGTATTTTTTTTACTATTAATTTACATAAAAAATAAAAACTAATTTAAGTTTTATCAATAATCTGATTAATCATTTCATATGATATTGGTATTGAATATAAAATTTTTTATAATTTTTTATATAAATTAATAATAAAAAAATAATAAATACACTATTAATTTGTACCATTAAAATACAAATTAAAAAGATCCTTACTATATATCACTATTCAGTATTTTCGCAGTGTAAATTTTTCCAGTTCCAATAATTAAGGAGTAAAACTGGGTTGGTTCTGTCGAATTTTATTTTATGAAGAAAATTTGAACAAATTAATGTGCCTACAGACATCTGCAGACTGCAGGTCAAGCGAGGGTCAAAAAGGCTCCTGGCAGAAAAGTGTGGGCACCCCAAATGATGACAATCTCAGACCTTGTTTGGTAAGTGGAAAATTTTATTTGAAAAGTTTTTATTGAAAATATATTAAAAAAGTATTGTATAAAAAATTATTAAATTTTATAATAAAATTTTGTTAGTATTTTGTTAAGTTGTTAATTTTTTTATATTTGATGAGAAATTTGCATAAGAAAAAGTTGTTAGAAAAGTTATCAAGAGAATTCTATATAAAGAAAATTTAAGAAGAAACTTTTTCTCTTCAAAAAGTGTAAGAAGAAGAGTTTATAAGTTTGAAATTATGTTAAGGAAAATAATGACTAATAATGTTACTTTTATCTTTATTTTATTATAGTATTAATATATGAACATATATAAATAATGTTGTAAGGGAAAAGATCCCCAACCAAAGAGCCCTTTTAAGAGCCCCTTTAAGGCCCCTAAAAGTAGATAGGCAAAAATGGTATTTTAATTTATGTATTTTTTGATATTATTGAGATTAATTTTATAATTTTCTTTTTGTAATATTTGAATATCGTCATTTATATATTAAAATAAATTAATACATTTACTTTTTAATTTAGATAAATTAATTAAAATTTAACGTATAATGTCACGAATCCTTAATTTACTATGAAACTCATTTTCTTACTGTTAATACATTATCGACTTAACGCATGTGGGACCTCATTTCGTGACATGGATTGATGTAGATTTTTTTTATGACATGGCCCTGATTTGTTAACCTGGACTAATTATTTCCCTAAAAACTCACCCGCTTCAAAGCGTAAAATTGGGGATCCAGGTTTCTCTCATCTGTGAAATTTATTTTTACCTTCAAAATGTCAGTATCTGATTCTTGTTCTAGCCACCATTGAAAACCCAATCTGCTCATGCCCTTTAAAACACCAAACTAGCTTACAAAACCAGAAACGAAAACCCCAGAAAAATTCCCTGTCCTCTGTCAAACAATCCAAGAAAAAATACATAATCAAACACCATACTCATTGCGTTTCTAGGTTCTTTTTCTTTCCAGAGAAAAGAAAAACGAGAAAACCCTTAGAAACCCAGAAAAAGGAAGAGAGAAAGGAAGCTAAGGTTTGGAAATTGGGAGAGATAATGTATTGGAAATTGGAAAAATTCGAGCTTTTGATTTCTTGAATGATACAGAGAAAAAATGGAGTTTTAGGAGCCGAATTTATTATTCCAATATCCTATCCGACGATTACAATATTCCTCCAAATTTCTGATTTTTTTTTTATTAGTTGAATAAACCAAATGAATCTGTGCCCGTCAGCTGTACAGAACCATCTCTCTCGTTGCTGACACAAAAGGCTCGTTTTTGCAGTTGGTCCCAATGATCTGCTCCGGCAAGGCATGAAGTCGGATGAGAAGCTAATAACCAGCATCTCGTTTACCCGGTTCGCTTCGTCCGCGAAGTTTAGCTCATAGCTTAGAGGATCGTAGCTGAAATCGAACGAATTGTGCTGCCTACGACCTCCTTGCTTCTCGATTCTGGCGATTAGATTCTTGCACTTGTCCTTGCTCTCCAATTCATGCGCTGTCGATTTCAGCCAAGTGTACAGCGACCGCAGCGTCCTCGTCTTCAACTCGTCCAGGTCAATCGTCGCTGCCTCGCCGTGATCCGTCGTACGGAACAGCAAATCGATGATTTCAGCTTATTGCTGACCCCCTCTTTCGGCGATGAAAAAGAGCATTTATCAAAAATAGTGAGAAAATGGAAGAAATGGGTGTTTTTGTTTTCGTTTTTTTGGAGGCATGTTTGGATCTCTATGCTATAATAGCGAGAACTTTCCAGCGGCTAAGGTTTTGGGGAAATAAGTAGTCTAGGTCAGCAAATTAGGGTTATGTCAACAAAAAAAAAATAGTCCATATCATACCACGTAACTAAATTGGGTTCCATATATACCAAGTCAATAATGTTATAACGAGAAATAATTGGTTTTCATGGTAAATTGATAATTCATGACATCATACGTTAGATTTGATTTAATTTATTTTAATTGAAAAATAAATGTGTTAATTTATTTCGATATATAAGTAATGAGATTCAAATATTGCAAAAAAAAATTGTGAGGTTAATCTCAACAATATTAAAAAGTACATGAGTTAATGAGATTTATTTCAATATATAAGTAATGAGATTCAAATATTGCAAAAAAAAATTGCGAGGTTAATCTCAACAATATTAAAAAGTACATGAGTTAAAGTACCCTCTTTGCCAAAGTAGATATATCTCAAAGTTTTCTAAGGAACATGAGTATACCCAAAACAAACTTCAAATGAGGAAGATAAATGTGAAGTTTAAGCTTAGAAAACAAAGTGTGAATTAAAGTTGGAAATGAAGTACCAACCCAGCTACGGGGCTGTGTTTGCTATAGCTTTTATTTTCTAAAATATTTATAAGCAAATTCTTCTTCTTCTTTTGCCAAAGTAGATATCTCTCAAAAGTTTTCTAAGGAACATGAGTATACCCAAAACAAACTTCAAATGAGGAAGATAAATGTGAAGTTTCAGTTTAGAAAAAGTGTGAATTAAAGTTGGAAATGAAGTACAAACCCAAATTCTTCATCTTCTTTTGCCAAAGTAGATATATCTCAAGAGTTTTCTAAGGAACATGAGTATACCCAAAACAAACTTCAAATGAGGAAGATAAATGTGAAGTTTAAGTTTAGAAAAAGTGTGAATTAAAGTTGGAAATGAAGTACCAACCCAGCTACGGGGCTGTGTTTGCTATAGCTTTTATTTTCTGAAATATTTATAAGCAAATTCTTCTTCTTCTTAAATATTTATAAGCAAATTCTTCTTCTTCTTCTTCTTGTTGCAAATTTAACCCCAAAAAAATAAGGGAAGAAAAAGTTAGATTAATCTCGTAAACTGTTTTATTCACAAACACTTCTTCTTCTTCTTCTGTTGCAAATTTAACCCCAAAAAAATAAGGGAAGAAAAAGTTAGATTAATCTCGTAAATTGTTCTATTCACAAACTCTTCTTCTTCCTCTTCTTCTTGTTTGAAAAAATTTGAGAGTAAAACTTATTTTTTAACCCCA